TAAATGCAAACGATTTCTCTCAAGTTTTCGACCGTTTGACATTTGTACTTCGTATGACCTCGGTCTATCATAAATTTTTGTTACAACTGCTGGTTCTAACGGTTTACCTTTTTCTTTTCGAATATACACATCATCTGCTAATTTCTGTTTCTATCATACAAAAGTTTTTGTTTGGTTTACCTTTTTAACAATTTTTGCCTAAGTAACTCATTCTCATTTTCCCACTCATTCCTTTTTACATTAATCGGCAAAATTCCACGCGTTTCATAACCAAATAACAATTCGTTCGGTGATTTTATTTCGTTTGAAATCGGAGTGGTTTTATTCTCTCAATGCAAGTGTCGGATCTCTACTGCTATGCTCTATCTTCTTAAACATACTTTCCACAGTACCAACACGACGTTCAACCATACCATTCGATTTCGGATAATTCGGGACTTGACGTTACATGTTCAAGATTCCAGGAATTTACAAAATTTCGCATATCGCGATTTATAAAATGGGTACCATTATCAGAAATTGCTTTTTTCGGAATTCCAAATCTTGCAAAAATTGACTTTTGTTTTGACACAATTGTTGAACCAAACATGTTCTCCAATTTTGCAACTTCCACATACTTGCTGAAATAATCAATAACTAAAAGCCAATGACTGTTTTGAAATTCAAACAAATCCATAGCAATTGTTTCCCACGGAGCATTCGGGACTTCATGTGGTAACAAAGGTTGTTTGACGTTCGATCAGTTGAATTGCATACAAGATTCGCAACTTTTTACAATGGTTTCAATGTGCTGATTCATGAATAGCCACTACCAAATTTTTCTCCCACAATTTTTACGCTTTTCAATTCTAAGGCGATAATAATGAATCAAATTTAACATCTTTTTTCGCAGTTTTCTAGGAACTACGAATTCTGTTACCTTTAAAAATTAACTCTTCTGTTACACACAGTTCGTCAGCTTAATTGTGATATAGTTTTACTACTTCAGGTATCTTTTTGGAATCGCTTGGTCAACCTTCTAAAATTTACTTTATCAACATTTGCATTTCCTCGTCATTGTGCGTTTCTTTTTGAAATTCTAATTTTTTCTGCACGGAAATCGGTAACGACTCTACCAATAAGAAAACTTGTGCTTCAGTATCTTTTTCGTGACAATTTGACGGTGGACAGTCATTTATTGACTTTTTAAATATAAACTCTAACGGTTTGTGATCTGTTTCAACAACTCTCTTTCCATAAATGTACTGACTAAATCTCTTACAAGCAAAACAAATCCCTAAAGTCTCGTGTTCAATTTGAGCGTATCTTTTTTCTACATCAGTCAACGATTTACTCGCGTAAGCGACGGGTGAATTGTTTTGCAAAAGAAGACATCTTGAAGGTCTGGCTCCTTAGTTCACACTTTTTTGAGATTTTCCAATGAAATCAAATTGCGGTGTGCTCCGGTGTCAAATTTGACTTTTACCTTGTGCTGATTGTCAATTTGAATCGTTTCGCACCAGTCTTCATTTTGTTTTGAAAGTGAAAAGTTAAACACTGACTTTACTTCAAAACTCTCATTTTGATTTTGTATAATATTTACACTTTGATTTGTATACATTTGTGCGAAATGATTCATCTTTCCACAGTTTGAGCACTTCTTTCCCCCACGCTGGACACTTGTTTCTGGGATGAAACTTGTTGCAACGGAACGGTGAAACGGCTTGCGAGTTGACTGCTGTGCTGCCGTCTGTTGACACGGTGTCGTACTGCTTGGCTGCTTTCATTTCTTCTTCTGTTTCAGTTGATTTTTATTTTTCGATGCTTTTATGACGTTCACCTTGGCCTCAGTTTCCAATGTTGCTTCTGTGACAGCTCGGCGGCTTTAAAAATGTTTATGCACTTTTCCAGGTCCAGATCGTCCTCTGTCAACAATCTTGTTTTTAAGTCCTGGTCCAGCACACCATAGATCACACTGTCCTTGATGAGACTGTCACGGAGAGCTTTCTCAAATCAGTGATGAACAACGAAAAAGTTTCTCCTGAATTAACTTTTCGACGGACAAAATCGACTTTTTAAAAATTTATTAATATTAATTACAAGAAAAAAAACTTATCTAACCCTGTTTCTTCCCGAGGTACGTATACTATTTTTTTTCACGTTTGTGTGAAAAGCTCGTCATTAAATTGATATTTGGCGAAATAAGAGTAAATGATTTAGAGGTTTGAAAGGCATTGTCATTGAACAACTGATTTTTGCGCATGCCCATAAACTTCAGCGCATGCGCTCAAAAGACTAATTTCATTGCCTCCCGACTAAAACACGGCTGAAAAGAGGCCATTTCTTCCCTGTTTCATAGCACGCAAAACGAGCTTTCCGCGCTAACATGACAAAAAGAAATAAACATAACTCAAGGCGCCTTATACCGAACTTAAAATCTACAACGGTGTGGCACAACCTTAGCTCATCATTATTATCATAAGGTTGTCAGCCCTAAGATTGGTTGGATACGCACCTCCACTCTTTCCTATCCTAAGCTAATCATCGCATTTACCTACAACTAGAACATCCCACACCCTCAATTATTTATGTACAGTAAACTATAGATCTGCCTCTATCCCCCCTCGTAACTCCTGTTTCTGTGTTCTACCAACCTATCTCACCTATTTCTTATTAACTTTGTTAAGATTTTTATTATCTTTATGTCTGTTACAATTCGACTGATCAAGAAAACACTTCTATTCTGCTGAACGTTTATTGAACGACTTAATATTCTTCAGTATCAAAAATGTTTCTTTATACATATCGATCTCGACCGGATACATAACTCATTCTCATANAAAAAATGGAAAACGAAATGAATACAAGTTACAAGAAATATGATATAAGGTTAAGATTAGTGTTATTTGAAAGAAGTTATTGAAAAGTGCACTTTTAACATTAGATACATAACTTTGGTATTAAATAACATGGACCAGTGATAAAATATGAGAGGTATCTAACAGAAACATTTTGCTCTGGCTATGCAGTTTTTGTAGTAATGGCAATAAATGCCAACAACAAAAACAATTGAAGTTGCACAACTATTCATTTTATCGACCGAGACGCCTATGGGCAATTAAAAGTACCTACAATAATACAGTCGTATTAGCTTCGACAGACTCACCAAAATGGTACCATTTAATAATTCTTTTTCATCGTTTGTATAAACGTACATTATAAAGGAGTATCTAATTTTTAAAAACCACAGTCGTCTGATGATTAAAGGAAACGAAGTTTAGAATGTTGCATGCTGTAGCCAGCATAATAGGGAATCCATTCAGATATTTGTAATAGGTACTGTAATGTCTAGCACATTAGCATATTTTCACTAACCTGTATAAGGGCCACTCAATGTCATAGTTCTACTTCTAATTTAATTAAACTCCAATAAAGATCTAAAAGTTTACTTTTGGTCTATTTTATTACCAGTAATTTTTCGAGGATTAATTCAGTAAGTGAATTTAAGTGATCCTGTCGTGAGAGTGAACCATCGTCCCTGTTGGATTGCACAGAGTGATAGTTATTATTAAGTGCTGTTAATATCAGTGTAATAGTTGGAATTCTTAAGTGTGCAATTCTAACTGTGTGGGAGTATCACCTGGTCTGACGATAAGGTTATCATCCCTTTTGACTACATCCTCAAATCCAGACGTGAAAGTACTTACTAATTTCGCCCCTTTTACATTCACAATAACTTCTAAAAATATAATAGCGAAATTCAATATGTTCAACAAGGTCCATTTACATAGACAGATATCTACTTGCTGTACTGAATCCAAATTGTTAAGACTTAAGCCTGACTGACACCCCGTCAGATCAGAATGGTAAATGTCTAGATGATGGGTGGGATCGAAAGAGGAGGTGTCCCGCATCACTGTACCATAAAAAGTTCGTGGCAGTCTTACCCCCATAAAAAGTTATGGGGGTTAGATGAGGGGGGGTAGAGGGGGATCGAAAGAGGGTGGTCACCTGAGTAAAACCTCATAAAAAAATTGCGGCGGTCTCACCCCCATAAAAAGTTATGGGGGTTGAAAATTGATTATTTTGCAATTTTCATACACTATAATTCAAATAAAAATCAATAAAATAATAATTTTCAAGCGGGTGGAGGTGGGGGTCGAAAGAGGGTGGTCATTTGAACAAAACCCGATAACCTAACCTAACCTAACCTATTGATAAAGATATTTAAATAGTGTTTTATATAACTTTCTCAATATTTTTATGTATTTTTCATTAGTTTCACCTTTGAATATTGTTTAAGAATGACTATATAAATATTTACATGCCCAGAAATGTATAAAACTTGGCATATTTATTAACTTTGAATCCCCATAAGTTTTTATGGGGGTGAGACCGCCACGAACTTTTTATGGTACAGTGGTGGGGGAGACCTCCTCTTTCGGGGTGGGGGAAATCATCTAGAAATCATGGTATGAATTGATCTCTATACATATGTTATGAATGCTGATATATGAAATGTATGCTACAATATTTTACTTGAATGTGAACAGGCCGTGACTTAACCGATAGTATGAATCGATCTTCACTAATTGTTCTGTCTTATTAATACTACAAATATTTCCTATATTGTGCCATAGAATTGTTTAGATAACTTGTATCTGTATCAACAACAGGAAGAACAAAGCAAGTTTCTTTACGCCTAACTGATAGGTTAATCGTAAAGCACTCATTTGTCGACGATAACTTTGTAAAGAATTTTTCAATTTTATTCATTTATCACTGTTAACCGATTAACTGGAGGGCATTTTTGATTTTGTTTCATTCAATTAAGGCAATTAATTCTATATGTATATTTATGTTTCCAGTGGCGTATCTAAGTATATAGATAAAAGTCAAAATATTTCAAACACCTACTGCATTATTCAATTCACTTTAAATAGGTACCTGTATAAATAATAAATTCAGGAATACACACTTTTATTATTCTCGATAAAATAAAAATGGCTGTACTTACGATTCTTGTCTGACGCAAATGTTTGGTCCTTCCAGAGCGAGACATACTGACATTTGAAACAGGAACACTAATACCGCTAAGAACAATGACATATTTCCGGTAGAAACTCCGTTAATTGAATTAAGCAAAACACTGTATCACATCAACATTTATTGTTGTCATTTAGTCTGTACTGGTTTGTGCGTATCTGGCTACTAAATTCAAATATACATCATCACAGCCTTCGTCATGTTTCCTTTTTCCACTAGGGTGACGGAGAGGTCGTTATCTTACTAATTGTTACTCCTGTATTTAACGTTGTTTCAGCGAACGAATCTGCTACAGCTCTTCAGTGACAACTAGGAATTGCACAAGAGTTGTATGTTTCAAGAAGCCAATTTACTTTTACGTTGGTATAAGTGCAACTGAAGTGGTGAGAATCTGAAAAAAAAAGTAAAAATTGTGAATTATAAACAAACGTAAACTATATCTAAAACTTATTTAAACATAGTAGATAGCCATATTTTAAAGTGGTTGCATACTGTGGGTCTGTTGTATGAATATTACGTTTCTGAATAGGTAACTGAAGATATTTCTCAAGTCTCAAATTACAATACACTCACTTACCTAAGTTATGCACACGTTGCTACTACAATGCCTTGTAAAATAGCTGTTTCTACATATAAACCTATAAACAAAATTTTATTTTTCCAGTATTAGTCTCTTCAGAGATTCCATTTAGTTTCATTTCATTTTTTCATAAATGTTTACAAGCATTCGAAAGGTGCTTACTGACCATTACCTAACAGCAATCAATAATATTTATGAACCCGAATAAAAAATTAAACGCATCCAAAAGCCGAGATGGCCCTGAGTTTACTCTTGCGTTTGCAAAATTGCATTTTTTTCAACTAGCTTGTTCTTTGAACAGTTAAGGCAACAAAATGAAGGTTACAGTAATAACTGTCTAATTAACAATAAAACTAAGTATATACCATTGGTATTTTCTGTTACAATTTCTAAGAAGTACGTAAACTAACGTTTTACCGTTCTATATTGTGCAGATTAATCAGCCTTCCATATTTGTCTTAAAATATACAATTTCAAGAGGACTTTGCTTTATCAAACAAATCGCATATAACAACGCCTACAATATAAATATACTTAACAGATAATTATATTAAAAATTGTATAATAATGAAATAACTTAAGTGTGCAATTCTAACTGTGTGGGAGTATCACCTGGTCTGACGATAATGGGCCCCAACGATCATCATCTTGTGCGTTTATTTAGTTTAGTATTTCTTTTTTTTTATTTATTACAGTGTGGAATTTTTATACCAGAAAATTAAAGATCTCACCCACAATTTATCTTGAACAGTGCATAAAATACAAGCTGCAAGCACTATGCGATCTAGTTATGTTTATAAAGAACTAGTGACCCGCCCCAGCTTCAAACGGGTGAAATGCTGATACTAAATATATTTTTGTTTTGTCTAGATTACTATCGAAAAAGGGAAATCTTCAAAAGATACCCCCTGAACATACTAAATATACTACAGAATGTCTTTTATACAACATTCACAGTTTTTTTGTCATTAGACAATACAAACCGGCCCCCCGGCCGGTACCGCCGCAAGCGCTATGTCCCCACATTTTAAATCTGTAATATCTTCGAAAATATTCATTTAAATTACATGCTGTAAAGGGCCATATTGATCTATATTAAATACACAATGTATTTAAGATAGTTAATTGGATAAGAATTAATGCTGTATTGCCTACAATCGCTTCGTAAATAAGTCATTATTTCTTATAAAAAGTAAAGGATAAAAATGGTTATTGTGGGTTATCCCTAAGNTATTTTCTGTTACAATTTCTAAGAAGTACGTAAACTAACGTTTTACCGTTCTATATTGTGCAGATTAATCAGCCTTCCATATTTGTCTTAAAATATACAATTTCAAGAGGACTTTGCTTTATCAAACAAATCGCATATAACAACGCCTACAATATAAATATACTTAACAGATAATTATATTAAAAATTGTATAATAATGAAATAAGATTGATTTATCCAATACAATACAAGTTGTAATGATAAAAATATATAATTCCTCGTAATGTTAGGTAGTCGCATATCATCTAATCTTAAATTAAAAAATCAAAATAAGGACTGGTATTAATGTTACTTTTAGAACAACTAATAAACTAGGTAAATTTAAAAAAAAAAACCAATAGGGACAAACTGGAAAATTGAAAAAGTCAAGTAAATATATCAATCGCGTTGATGTCCTAAATACGTGTCAAAGATCATAGACGACCACCTAAAATTAATTTTTTCTATCTTACTTTTTCTCGTGAACAAGAATACTTGAGTATAGCCAAACTGTTACAATTTCTGTGTTGCTTGTTTATATATCAGATTTTAATTAACGATAACTTATTAGTATAATTTTGTCGCCTTACTGTTTATAAACATTACAGGTTCGTATCAAGGGTTACAACTCAACCCTTTCGTTGAAAATCCGCCAACCAAGAATTAAAATTTCATTAGTTTAGTGTTAAACTACATTTTGAACGGGACATTGCAGTGTAATGTAACAACTTAAACATAAGTAGGTACGTGAGTGTATTTTTTAAGCGAAAAGTAGTACCGGGTACAGAAAAGTCAGAACTATTAACATTCTACAAATATTTTTAGTTTCTGAACTGATTACCAAAAATGTCGCTAAAATATTTGCTATTTAACTAGTTAACAAGCAACCACTTTGGGCACGTTCGATAACAGCGTTGAAATAAATAGTATTTGGTACATAATACCCGTGGATATCTATTTAGCAGTAAACACGAGACCAGTATTTAAACACTAGAACATTATAATAGGAATTTCTCCTTATTCTTGATGCTTTATCTCCACTACTTAACGTTTCTATGCACCATTACAATTAAACCAAGTAACTTCATGTTTTTGCAAATTACTTGACTTGACTGTGAAATCAAATATCGCTATCAATAATAATTTTACATAGTTGCTATTTGCCTTGATGTCAAGCAATTTCAATCTTTTTCGTCGCATCTACATCCATGTGCTCGAAAACCTTACCTACTAGGGTCAATTGAAAAGTCCCCGGCCTGACACATAAATGGCGGCACCAGAACTAAATCCATATGATTTTCAGTTAGTCCTAACCTTCAAAAGACGCGTCTATAAATTTGACGGCTGTCGGATCATTAGTTTGTGAATTATAGCATTTTTAGTGAAGCAACTTTTGTTATTGTGAAAAAAATGGATAAAAAGGAATTTCGCGTGTTGATAAAATATTGCTTTTTGAAGGGAAAAAATACAGTTGAAGCAAAAACTTGGCTTGATAACGAATTTCCGGACACTGCCCCAGGAAAATCAACCATCAAGGATTGGTATGCTAAGTTTAGACGTGGTGAAATGAGCACCGAAGACGGTGAACGCAGTGGACGCCCAAAAGAGGCTGTTACGGACGAAAACATTAAAAAAATCCACAAAATGATTTTGAATGACCGTAAATTGAAATTGAATGAAATAGCAGACACTCTACAGATATCAACGGAACGTATACATCACATCATTCACGAATATTTGGGTATGAGAAAGCTCTGTGCAAAGTGGGTGCCGCGCGAGCTCACTTTTGACCAAAAACAACGACGAGTTGATGATTCAGAGCAGTGTTTGAAGATGATCACGCGTAATAAACCCGAGTTTTTGCGTCGATATGTGACAATGGATGAAACATGGCTCCATCATTTCACTCCGAAGTCCAATCGACAGTCATCGGAGTGGACTGCACACGATGAACCCGCTCCAAAGCGTGCAAAAACGCAACAGTCGGCTGGCAAGGTTATGGCGTCTGTATTTTGGGATGCGCGTGGAATAATTTTCATTGACTACCTTGAAAAAGGAAGGACCATCAACAGCGACTATTACATAGCGTTATTGGACCGTTTGAAGGACGAAATCGCCGAGAAACGACCGCATTTGCAGAAAAAGAAAGTCCTGCTTCACCAAGACAATGCACCGTCTCACAAGTCAGTGAAAACGATGGCAAAAATTCATGAATTGGGCTTCGAATTGCTTCCGCATCCACCGTATTCTCCAGATCTGGCCCCCAGCGACTACTTCCTGTTCTCAGATCTCAAAAGAATGCTCGTTGGGAAAAAATTTTCGTCGAATGAAGAGGTGATCGCCGAAACTGAGGCCTATTTTGAAGCAAAGGACAAATCGTACTACAAAAATGGTATCGAAAAGTTGGAGGATCGCTATAATCAGTGTATCACCCTTGAAGGGAATTATGTTGAATAAAAAAAACGAATTTTGCAAAAAAAATGTGTTTTACTATTTTAGGTCGGGGACTTTTCAATTGACCTGTTACTTATAAAGTTGAGCAAGTATTTATCAATGTGCTATGGATAACGTTAAGTTCATAGTTGGGTATGTTCACTTTTCCACAGCAAGATGCATGACCATTACTGGAATCATACGGATGACGCGCTAAATCTTGCGGACAAATTTCCTGTCCAAAGGTTTATAATAATAGGGGAATTTAACAAAAGTAACGTTTAATGAAGTAAAAATGAGCCGCTTCGCCTGAAATACAACACCTACCAAACTACATATAGTACAGCCATTTGGTAGTTTTGCCTGGAAAGTTTTTCGGGAGTTTTGAAAATTAGTAATTTTATAGATTTTGAGGTGCTCATTCCAAATTTGAACTTTGCCACCTCGTATATTTGCCGCTCGCGCCGCCATATTGGAAAAATGGCGCCAAAAAGCAGTTTTTTGACAATATTTCCTTTCCGACTCATTTTACGATAAAAACAGTTATATACAAAATGAAACTAGAGACAATTATCTACAATTTATGTATCTACCTTTTTTTCATAAAGTTAATAGTTAAGGCGTACGAGCGCCGGAAAGTGTACTTTGCCCTTCTTCGTCTGTCTTTATTATTTTGTAATATTCATTCACTTTCTAGTGATGCATCATTTATACAGGTTATTTCTCAATATCAAGACGTCTCTGATATGTAGGTATGTCTTGTTTTTGCCTCGGAACATCAAAACCAATGGTCCATCATTTCGAACCTTTCTTTTGATACTCCAGCTCGTCTATCTTATCTTCTTGGATTATGATTTAAAATAATTCGTAATACACGGAGACCTCGAATAATTTAATTTACAATCCTGGGTTTTTTCCCAATACGCGGAAAGTATAAAATAAGAAATAAAAATTTAGTTGTCAACTGTAGACCAATATCTATCTTAAAACCAAAACTCCTTGATACGATTATTGCCAAAGAGTCCTCTATAATTATACATAATTAAAAACAGTATGAATTTATTAAGGATTTACTTATTAATCTAGAATTAATTTATTAAGTACGCATTTTCAAATGGGTTGCAGGTAGACCGTATACATTTAGGGCAAAATATCTACCTAACAAAAATTACTCTTTTTTTTACGGCATTGTTGAAGGTATTTGTTCGAATATCCTTACACCACGTTGTATTTTCAAATGTTAAATGCCAACCTTTGGTGAAATGCAAATACTAGACCACTCATATTTTTAGTTCTAAGTTGTAAGTATTGACTTTTCTAAGGCCCTTGACTCCGGTCAAAGTACAAGCTTTCACACAGACGGTTTTCTAACGGCAACCGTGCCGTACCGTGCCGTACTTTCATTTTGCTTTGCGTTCACACTGCACACAGTTTTTCACGGTTTAGTTTTGTTTTGATACATGACCAAAATGGACGAAAGAAAAAAAACGCATGTTGTTGCTAATGATATGGCATAATCGCAGAAAAACACAAAAAACAAGAAGATTTTGGATTCATCCACTACTTGAAAACAGACAATTGATGGGTGAACTTGTAACATTATTTCATGAGCTACGAGAGGATAGCTCCAAATTTTTTAATTATTTTCGAATTTCCATTTGGAGTTTCGATGAATTATGTGTAAAATTGCAAGATGATTTAAAAATTAGTAATAATATTTAATATCAAGAGGGAAATAAAAAAAAAAAATGAGTATCAATCAGAAAACAATCTATCAGAAATGGAAAAAGGTTTTCCTTTCTGTTATTTAACGCTTTGATACCAAAAGAAATCAAATTATTAAAGTTTTCACTGTCTAGCTTATAAGAGATAAAAGAAGATTGTAATATATATCTGTACAAAACCTTGTTTCTTCAAAAATATCCGAGAAAATTTAAATGCTCATATTCAATATATCCTTTGTATTAT